CAAGCACATTGCCCCCCATCATCCAATACAGAATGCAGTCCGGACCCCTCTTCCCCTCCAGCCATTGCTCCTCACCCCTGTCCCCTGCCCTGCTGCGGTAGCAAGAGCCGAGACCCCGGGCACCGCATCCCGACACTCCACCAGCTCCTCGCCGGGCCAAACCGGTCTGGGATCACAACAACATGTCAGTCATCGAGAGACCACGCCTCCTCCGGAGACCGAGCCCCGCCTCGTCCCCCTCCCAGCGTGCACCGGGGCAGGAGGCAGTTGAGGGGAGCCACGTTCACCTCTCACCCAGTTCCTGCCAGTTGTGTAACGTGTTGGCGGTTTCTTTATATAACATGATACATGTCCGTTCATTCATATGTGAAGCAATGCCCGTACTATTCTGTTGTTATTAGACGAATCTATCTGCTGCATGCATGAGTTTTAAATGAATAGTTATGTCGTCCAGCCTTCGCTGGCTGCATGCTTGTGACTGAAATGATTGCCAGATAATGAGCATTAGTATAGACTGTACAGCACAGGACACAGGGATATTTCTGATACCACTGGGTTATGCCAATACATTCAGGTGATTGGACACTGACCAGTCAAAGTTGCCCTATATAACACTTTCCACTCCCAGCATGCCTCAGTTTTATTTTCCAGGGTCCTCAGGAGATGGACGTCTTCCTCCTTGGCAAGTGGCGCAGTGTGAGCGGTTAGCTGCATGGTGCTATACAGGTCCATGGCTGTGGCCCTTAGGAAGCCCTGACCCTAAAGGCCCCCGCTCTGAGGATATGCCCGCCCAGAGACTGCTGTGTACCTTGGTGATGACCAAAAGCCCCTCAGGTAAGTTGCTTCTATGCACCCCGGTTGCCAAGGTTATTTCCTCATTTCCCTACAGGGATCATGTTGAGGTTCATGTGTGAGTGTGGAGATGCGCTTTAAGAGCATGGTTGGTTTTAAAAAATATATACGTTTGGCGCCATTCAGCTCCCATTGCAGCCTGGGGGGGGGTGTACTGTGCCACAGCTCCTCCTCTCTGTACTGATAGGAGGGTTTGTATCTGGGAGGTGCCAGATCGTTGTTGTTCTGTTTGGACACATGTTTGGCTGGCATACAGCTTGTGTCCTTGCTACCAACTACCACAGCCTGACCCTGGGTCACCTGCCACTGCCTTTTAGTGTTAGATAGGGAATACCCGCTCACTGCTGCCATGGTAACATGTATGGCCGGTCACAGGCACTGGAGCGGGAGGCCCGGATCATGGCTCGGCTGGGGCTTCTGTTCCTCTGGGGTCAATATTTCTATTGGTCAATTGATAAGCTTCCCTTCTCCTCCACTCCTAATTTCAGGGTCCTCCCCTGCACCACCCTCCTCTGATATACTATATAGAGTTTACCGCTGTTATGGTGGATTTAAGGCCCCATTCACACCAGCGCGGTTTGGGCGCGCAGATCCGCCGACACGAACAATCCCATACATTGCTATGGGGACCGTTCATGCGACCGCGCGGCTCAGCGCGATCTGAAACCCCCCCGGCGAACTGCTCCCTGCACTTTTTTTGCTGCACTGATCAGTGCGATTTCCATACAACCGTTTAGAACTGTTCCCGTCCACCTTGCGTTACTGCGTGGGGGGCCCAGTGGATTCTCTCTGCCATATTTCTAGAATGAGCCATCTGTTGGTCCACATGCAGCGGATTCTTTGGCTAAAGTTTTGGTCGGCAGCGTTCCCCAGCAAGGATGTTTCTTCTGGGAATCCTAGGATACGAACATCAAGGAAGTCATGGGAGAGGAGCACCTTCTTAAAAGTGAGAAGCTGAAGGCTCCAGTAGCTAAGTCCTTTTCCAGCATTGAGTTCTAATGGCAAGCAGGGTACACAATTCTGCTGCAAGACCTGGACCGCCAAATCCATCAACATGAAAAGTAAACCCTCTTCCCTTTGAAGGGGGTGCCCCCATTTCTTCAAGGGAAATGTCCAAAAGAAGTCACCCGCACTCCAAGGTCCAATGTGCTGAACGCCTCTTTTATTCAGATGTTATACAGACATGGTGGCATTTCTTCATGGGGGGACAATTCTCATCCTTCTTGGCACTCTGGGCATGGGACATTTCTGATGCCTGTGCCACATTTACAGGGCTACTATCACGTACCTGGTTGGAGACTGGTTGGATGAGGAGGCTCCCCTTGCACCTTGTGTCCCCCAAACTCCGAGCATGGGAACAGAGCTTGAGAAATAGCAAGTAGCACGGGTGCCAGTGGATGGGGCAACACTGTGCCGGGCAGAAGTCCAGGATCGGGTAGAGCAGAGCAGCGGTCAAATGGGGCGGACAGCAGGGTACCAGAGCAGTAGGCAGAATCGAGGTCAGACAAGCCAGGGGCCAGAATCGAGATCAGACAAGTTCTGCATGGGACGCATTCTATCCTTTCTTCAATCTGGCCTAAGCACCATGAAGACCAGGCGAAGGCCTTTGTGCGCCACATTGTACATGTCCTGACAACCCCATGGGACATCAACCTTGTGTGGTCAGCTCTTAGGAAGCTGCCCTTTTACCACTCAGGGATATCCCTCCACCCCTGCTCACTCGCATTGTGGCCTTCCTGGTCACCATTAGCATCTTTTTCGAACTTGAAACTTTACCCTCCAAGGGGCAAGATGACAAAAATGGCCAACTCAGACAGCACCCCAGCATGGCCCTGGGTATATGCTATACATAGTTGTTGGTAAATCTAAAAGAGGTTAAAAAACTAGTTTGTATTATATGTGGCCAACTTTAGTATTTGTGTGAGGCTTTCTTCATTCTGCTTTGCATTCTCTTCCAAAAGCAAAAACAGCTCTGTGAAGTTTTTGCAAACTGTAAGAAATGTCAGATTAAATCTAAGTGGGTGGTGGTGGTGTCATAGACATTTTTTTTTATGAATTCCCCTATGTGTTCGATTTCTTTTGCCTCTGGCCGGTCCACTGCTCTATACAATCCGTACTAAGAAACCATAAGACGCAGAGAATACACAGCAGGAAGGTCCCACAGCATCATTGTGCATTTTCGGGTCCACTTGAAACCCAACTGGCAGACCTGCAGCTGTGCAGTGACTCTGTGACAAGCATGGTGGCAGCTGCCAGTGGAATCCCACCTGCAGAAGACATTTGGGCATGCAGGTCGAGGAGGGGGTAAGAGGGCAGCAGTTTGGCATTTCCGTCTGGGCACTGGATGGCCTTGTCCCTGCACTGGTCACACGTTCTCCTAAAGGAGACTACAAGCTGCCATGCTAATGCACATTGCACAGGCATGCTTCTCTGTTGTCGCCATCAGGAAACCCACCCTGAGTAACGTCATGCAGCCTTTGCTGGAGTGCAAGTATACAGATATGGGTACAGAAGATCAGCAGCACTAAGAGGCTTATGAAAATATGTATCAACAGACAATTGTTTATGATATGCAGTGCTCCATGACTGTGTATCAAGTTCCGCCCCAATATACTGGAGGAGAGTTTTAATGTCCTGGGTGATTTTAAGCTGCAATCCTGTTCAACATTGCTGGTGTGGAGCTCACAAGTGAGAAAAGAGCCGGAGGAGGAAGAACAGTGTGGGGTGACTGCTGGTGTTACTGGCAATTACCTGGGAACTGATGATTGGGAGGCTGTAACACAGATGTTTGTAGATCTTCAGAAATGTGGGTCTAATGGTAAGTGCTGAATCTGATGGGTATTTGTGTGCAGGGCCACCAATAGGGGGATAAAGACAGCTTTCCTGTACCGGCCCCATCAAGTCAGCAGTGGGGCCCAGACCTGGCAGAGGCTGTCTGTGGGGAAGGAGGGGATAAGTCTGTCCATCAGACTGGTTACGATGGTGAGTGGGTGAGACTGTCCACTGGGTGGGCCTATCAGGGTCCTGCCTGCTCCCCTAAACTGTGCTGGACAGCAGGAGTGGGAGGAGTCACATTTTTGACCCGTCTCTTTTCAGCCTCCACTGTAGACAGACTAGTAATTTGGCTCCACCCCAGCACCTCCTCCCAGAGCCCCTAGTACCTCCACTGTAAGAAATAGGGAAAGCGGGCTGCAGTCTGCAAAGGTTGCGGGGTGATTAGTGCTACAAGAGTTAGCAGTGTAGGCAGAGGGTTGAAAGGGGTGCAGAGGTAAGCAATGTACAAAGAGGGATGCAGGGGCTGCAGAGATGGGCAGTGTTGGAAGAGGATGTAGAGGTTAGCAGTGTAGGAAGAGGGATGCATGGGTGCGCAGTGTAGGAAAAGGGGTGCAGAGGTTAGCAATGTAGGAAGAGTGATGCAGGGGGTGCAGAGATGAGCATTGTTGGAAGAGGGTTTCATGGGGTACTGAGGTTAGCAGTATAGGAGAGGGTGCAGAAATAAGCAATATTGGAAGAGGGTTGCCAGGGGTACTGAGCATGGCATTGTAGGAGGGATGCAGAGGTAAGCAGTGTAGGGAGAGGGATGCAAGTGGGGCAGTGGTGAGCAGTGTAGGAGGAGGGGTGCAGAGATGAGCAGTATGGGAGGGTGTGCATGAATGAGGAGAGGAGACTTGCACTGAATGACACACACCTAGCACTGCATGGGCTGGACAAGTGTGTCTCCTTTTATATATCAATTGCTCTATCTTGTGGTCATGTAATGATGATATACCTGCCAGGTAGATCAACAGACATATATAGCAGGCGGAAAAAGTTTGTACTCCTACAATAAAAGTATGGGGATTTTGCTTTTCCATATTTTTACTACATGAAAAAAAAGAAAGTATTGACATGCAAAATATGTATTCCCATAATGTGATTGCACTATAAATTGACTGCACTGCAAAAAGGGTAAATGGGCTCTTACTGCTGGGGCATGAAAGGTTTTGGAGGAAAATGACCAGACCCTGGTCTCAATAAGGTTCAGTATAGCTGTTTTCTAATGGCAGCCCTGTTATATGTGTAGATGAAAGTGCAGCTGTCCTAGTACTATTCTAGGCAAATCCGATAGTAATATTCTTACCTTACCCCCAGTTTCTGCCTTTGGTGTCTAGGTCAAGGTGCTGAGGCTAACCTTCCTTTGAGATCCCATGGAATGCTGAGTATCCTAAACCTTGTGAGATGACATTCCTACACTGTTCACTGCGTGGAAGCCAGGGGTAAGGTACGTATGTTTCATTTTTGTTTTTCTCTGCAGGTTTTTTGCAGAGAAAAGGCAAAATTGATTTTAAGCTGATAAAATCACTTACAATGGA